TCAATTTTTAAAATTGGACCCAGAAGTTTTCAGAAAAAGTCTTAGACCAAATTTTACCACATTTGTTAGTAAGCAGGAAGAAAAATAGTCACTCAACCTGTTCTGTAGGTTTGATGACACCCCAGGTCTCTGTCCTTTTAGGAGTTCTGACAGTGGCTGTCAAGAATGTTGACTGGAGGCAATATTCTAGCAGCAGGATTAGCTCATCTTCCAACTGGCTCAGGAGAGGAATCCTCTGAGGCAGCTTCTAAATACATAACAATCTATAAGTCAAATTTCAGGAAGCTTTTTACAAATACAACAGACTTCAAAAAGTTCATGGGAAAGTGGAATTAAATGATAATGAAGCCCCCTCATAAAGTTACTGGCTACCTAGATTCTAACACATTGATCTTGGACAACAATGGCTTCATCACTAAAAGACATTCATTGTTATTGTGTGTCATCCTGTAGATTCCAACTTATGACACATGGCACACCACCACCATCACCACCACCACCAGTGACCCTATATGACAGAGTCGGACTGCCCCACAGTGTTTCCAAGCTGTAAATTATCTAGGAATTCCTAGGATAGATAACCAGGTCTTTGCTTCTGAGGAGCCGCTGCACAAACTGTTGACCTTGGTGTTAGCACTCTAGCACTTAACCATTGTGCTACCAGGGATCCTTGAGTGAACATTCTTGTTGTTGTTAAAGGCCATCAAGTCAGTTCCGACCCATAGCAACCCTATATAGGGTTTCCGAGGAGTGGCTGGTACACTTGAACCACCAACCTTACAGTTCAAACCGACTTTGCAGTCCAGTGCATTAACTCATAGCACCACACCAGGACTCCATAGGCCACCTCTTTTCCAGCCCTGGAGTGAATGTCATACCAGATTCTGTCTTATTCAGAAAAGAAAAAAATGCTAGCCCACCAGCTGCTCCTCAGAAACCCTACACATGGTTATTATTGAGTCAGCACTCATCAGCACTTAACAACAACAAAATCATGCTCAGAGTTGCTTCAGTTGAGTGGGCAAACTACCCCTGCTACATTGTAGATGAAAATTAGTAACATACTCATTTATATCACACTGCCTGTGTTCGAAGAAGACAAGATGACAAGACTCTGTCTCATGTACTTTGGACATGTTATCAGGAGGAACCAGTCCCTGGAGAAGGTCATCATGTTTGGTAAAGTAGAGGGTCAGTGTAAAAGAGGAAGACCCTCACTGAGATGGATTAGTATAATAATTACAACAATGGGCTCAAACACAGGAACCACTGTGAGGATGGCAAAGGGGCAAGCAGTGTTTCCTTCTGTTGTACATAAGAGGTCACTAGCTCCTAACAACAACAAAGCCTATGTTGCTGTCTGCTGAACTAAACTACAGACAATACATCATGACCATTACAAACTTATCTTCCTTTTCTACTTTCTGAGAATGTCTGTAATGAAAGCAAAGGAAACTATAGTTAGCCATTCCCCTTATTTGCTCTAAAATACTGATTTTAAAAAATGTTTAGAACACTAAGAAAAAAAAAAAAAAGAAATTTCAAAGAGCAGCTCAAGAAGACAAGGTCAAATATGTGCAAAGACCTGGAGTTAGAAAATCAGAAGGGAAGGACATGCTTGGCATTTCTCAAGCTAAGAGAAAAAAAACAAGCCTTGCTTGCAAAATATTGAATGATGCAGAAAGCATTAAAAAAAAAAAAAAAAGGAAGGAATTCACAGTCACTGTACCTAAAAGAAATGTTCAATATTCAACCATTTCAAGAGTTAGCATATGATCAAGAACCAATGATACTGAAGGAAGAAGTCCAACCTGCACTGAAGGCATTGGCAAAGAACAAGACACTGGGAATGATTGGAATACAAATTGAAATGTTTCAACAAACTGATGCAGCACTAGAGGCACTCACTGATCTATGCCGTGAAATTTGGACGACAGCTACCTGGCTAAATGACTGGAAGAGATCCATATTGTTGCCTTTTCCAAAGAGAGATGACCCAACAGAATGTGGAAATCATCACACATTATCATTACTATCGCCTGCAAGTAAATTTTGCTAAATATAATACAAAATGGCTGCAACCATGCATTAACAAATAGCTGTCAGAGGTTCAAGCCAGATTTAGAAGAGGACATGCAAGGAAGGATATCATTGCTGATGTCAGATCAATTTGGGCTAAAAGCAGAGAATACCAGAAAGATGTTTGCCTATGTTTTATGACTACGCAAACACTTTCAACTGTGAGGATCATGACAAGCTATGGACAACATTGTGAAGTATGAGCATTTCGAAACACTTAATTGTGCTCATGAGGAACCTGTACATAGACCAAGAGGCATTTATTCAAACAGAACAAGGAAACACTGAAGTTTAAAATTAAGAAAGATGTGCACCAGGGTTGTATTCTTTCATTATACTTATTCAGTCTCTATGCTGACCAAATAATCCGAGAAGCTGAATTATATGAGAAAAATATGGCATCAGAATTGGAGGAAGCCTCATTAACAACCTGCAATATGCAGGTAATACAATGTTGCTTACTTAAAGCAATGCGAACTTAAAATACTTACTGATAAAAATCATAGACTACAGCCATTGGTGTGGATTGCATCTCAATGTAGAGAAAACAAAAAATCCTCACCACAGGACCAATGAACAACATCCATACAAATGGAGAAAAGATTGAAGTTGTCAAAGACTCAGATCAATCATCAACACTCATGGAAGCAGTAGTCAAGTAATCAAATGACATACTGCATTAGGTAAATCTGCTGCACCAAACCTCTTTAAAGTGCTGAAGAGCAAAGATGTCTATTTGAGAACTAAGGTGTGCCTGCCCCAAGCCATGATATTTTCAATAACCTCAGATGCATGTGAACGTTGGATACTGAATAAGAAAACCACAGGAGAGTTGATGCATTTGAGTTATGGTGTTGGAGGAATATATTCAAAGTACCATGTGCTGCCAAAAGAACAAATAAATCTGTGTTGGAAGAAGGTCAGCAAGAATGATGTTTGGAAGCCAGGATGGCCAGACTTTGTCTCTCATGTTGTTGTTGTTGTTAGGTGCCATCGAGTCGGCACCGACTCGTAGCAACCTTATGCACAGCAGGATGACACAATGTCCGATCCTGGGCCAACCTCACTATTGTTGCCAAACTTGAGTCCATCGATGCTGCCACCTGGCCAATCCATCTCATTGTGTGTCATACTTTGGATATATTATCAGAAGGGAACAGTCCCTGGAGAAGGATATCATGTTTGGTAAAGTGGAGGGTCAGAGAAAAAGAGAAAGATGTCCAATGAGATGGATTGCACCCTGGTGACAACAATGGGCTCAAACATAGCAATAATCGTGAAGTTGGTACAGAACAAGGTAGTGTTTTGTTCTGTGTGCATAGGGCCGCTAAGAGTTAGTACTGACTCCTTGGCACCTAACAATGACAACAAGATCCATTAAAAAAATACAGTAGTGATTCCCTGGTTTTATATACTGTAAAATGTTCAAAATTATTTCAAACCAAGACCAACTTTGATTTTTCAAAAGTTATAATTTAACTGATTATAAAGGTAATACACTTCCATTGTAAGAAATAAGAGATTATCGTTGTAAGGAAAACCATGACTCATACAAAAATATTCAATTACAAGATGTCAAAGATTTATTTTAATTTATTATTTAATGAGGAAACCAGTATGATGTTATTACTGATTCAACGGGGAATTCAAAGGAGGCAAACAAGAATACTGAAAAGAATTTTAAAATGATTACAAAACATGTCTATATTCATTGGGAATAATCAATTCATTCCACTGGGGCAAATCATTTGCATTTCTATAGTCAAAAAATAGTTCGCAAAACTATGCTTTCTACAATTCACACAGTTAGAAAATAGCTCAAGGACAATGAATTACCAAAGGATCCTGTGTAATTAGATGGGGAGGGCTCCCAGTGTGCTAACCAGAGTACCCAGTAAACCCCTTTCGGAGGTTTTATACCACTTCCAAGTCTTTCACAAATCTGAAAAAAAGAAGATAAAATCCTCCATATCCTGCTCAACCTCAAAATACACTCGCTTTGATTCTTTTGAGTCTCACACAATCTGGAGTGTATAAGAAAACATGAAAATTAAACACTGGGGTCTTTCTTAAACAACAACAAAAACAAAGTAAATTAAACAACTGCAATACTTTGGAATTCGCTTTCTCTATAAGGTGGACCCTCCAGCCTTCAGGCTGAAGCATCCACACACTTGCCCAGCGCATCTCCTGCAGCTCAAAGAGTGCTCGGCACCGCCCACAGGGCTCAAGTGGCAGCAAGTCCACTATGCCAACCGTTCAGGGGCCATTGACACTCGCTGTGAGGCGCTCAGGGAGTGGAGGAAGGAGAGATTATAACCGCAGGGCCACCGGACAAGACAGGGAGAAACACCTTCGGGACAGTGATTCGCTGAGAAGCCTGGGGTGCTGGGCAGCGACCTGGACAGGTGAGGCTGTCCGCCCTTCTTCCCAGCCCCCCATGGGCCCGGGCCAGCGGAGGAGCCTGGGGCGGGACGACCTTTGCTCAGTGCCCGAGCCGACCCGGCCGGGCGGGGCCGAGCCTCCCAGCTGCCGGGTAAGGTGCGGGCGCTCCAAGGCCCGAGCTCCGAACAAGCTGCGCGCGAGGAGCCCCTCCCACTCCGGACGGGTTTGACCGCGGCGGCCGCCTCTGAGCTCCCGCTCCTCGGCCCACGGTTTCGGTCTGACCCGCCCGGGAGCTGGTTTCGATTGGAGCCTGCAGCCGGGCGTGGGGGGGCCCTAAGAGGGCGGAGCGGCCGGGACGCGAGGAAGGAACAAGGGACAAACCTCAGAGTGGAGACACTGACGCGGCGCGGGAAACAAAGAGTTGCGGGAGTGAGCTGACCTCTGGACCCCTTCGGCTGCGGAGACCCGGCGCTCTCCCGGCCCGTAGGAGTGCGCGGGGCCGAACGCTCGAGAACGCGTCCGCGGCGTCGGGCGGGATGCGGACGCCAGTGGTAATGACCCTGGGCATGGTGCTCGCGCCCTGCGGGCTGCTGCTCAACCTGACCAGCACGCTGGCGCCTGGCTGGCGGGTAGTGAAAGGTTTCCTGAACCAGCCAGTGGACGTGGTGCTGTACCAGGGCTTGTGGGACATGTGCCGCGAGCAGAGCAGTCGCGAGAGAGTGTGCGGCCAGCTGGACGAGTGGGGTTACTTCTCAGCCGAGCCCGTGCTCGTGGCGCGGGGACTTATGATTACGTCGCTGGCCACCACAGCCCTGGGGCTGCTCTTGGCGACGCTCGGAGTGCGCTGCTGGCAGGATGAGCCCCACTTCCTGCTGGCCGGCCTCTCGGGCCTCGTGCTCTTCGCCTCGGGGCTCTTAAGCCTCATCCCTGTCTCCTGGTACAACCACTTCTTGGGGGACCGCGACGTGCTGCCCGCCCCGTCCAGCCCGGTCACGGTGCAGGTCAGCTACAGCCTGGTGTTGGGCTACCTAGGCAGTTGCCTGCTGTTGCTGGGCGGCTGCTCTCTGACGCTCAGCTTGGCACCTTGGTGCGAGGAGCGTTGCCACCGCTGCCGAAAGGCGCCCGCCGCCAGCCTGCGCCGCAGCAGCATCAGCACGGTGTACGTCGACTGGCCGCAGCCGGCGCTCACGCCTGCCATCAAGTACTACAGCGACGGCCAGCACCGACCGCGGCCTGCCGAGCAGGGCGCCGCCAGCAAGCCTAAGGTCGGCTTCCCCATGCCGCGGCCGCCGCCCAAGTCCTACAGCAACCCAGTGGACGTGCTCGACGGGGAGACGGCAGCCGAGTCCCATGGCACTTCCTCTCGCAGCACCCGGCTCTACCATAGTTCGCTTCCCTGCGACTCTGACCTGTAAATGGCGCACGCCTTCTGCTCTGCCCGGTCCCTGGGCTCAGTCTAGGACACACAGTGACAAAAGACTCGTTCCCCCACAGCCCATTTCTGAGCTACTGCCTAGTCGCTTCCAAGCGTCTGGCTCTAGATTGAATCCGCACGTCTTCCTATAACTGGTTTGGAAGACGAGCTTCCTTTTCTTTGGACTGTTAGGCTGGTTGGGTTTGGTTTTCTTTTTATGGGATTTAGTGTTATCTCCAGAGGAATGACGGCCATTGTATGAACAGGGCCTTGCCTGCCTGCCTACCTGCCTACCTGCCTACCTGCCTTCCCTTCTTCCTTTCTTCCTTCCAAAGAATGTCCATGGAAAGGGTGACATTTGCATCGTGTTGGGCAGGCACAATAACAAAAATATTTGAAGTCAGCAAATAGAAGCTCAAAAACAGTTTAACACTTGAAATGATATTCCGAAATATCAACAGATTTTGCATCAACAGAATTTGTGTTTGTTTTTTTACTGCTGTATTTCATTTTCATGCAAACTGTCAAGTGTCCAGTTTATTTCTGGCTATGTTTGAATGAGGCTCTTAAAATTAAGGTGCTGTTGTTAAGTTCCCTCCGGTCTGTTCCAACTTATAATGACCCTCTATAGGGTTTCCAAGGATCGGCTGGTGAATTTGAACCACCGACCTTGCTGTTTAAACCAACCTTATGGTCCAGTACATTATCCTGCAGCGCCAGACCAGGATTCCAAAATGAATGTGTTAACCCTATATACGGTAACCCTAAATACGGTTCTGACCCATAGCAACCCTATATAGGGTTTCTGGAGAGCAGCTGGGGAGCTTGAACCATCAACTTTGCGGTTCAAACTGACTGTGCAGTCCTGCACATTAATCCACAGAGCCTTGCAAATATCAGATGTAGATACCATTCATATCTAAATTTCTTCTGTTAACTTTTTTATTGCTTATTTTTGGTGTGAAAGTTGAGTTTACTCAAGAGTTTCTCTTCTAGAAGCCAGAAGGAGAATAAAGGGACTAACTTTCTACTGTATTCTATTCCTAGGGTTATGTATTGTCATTCTTAACATAGTGAGCTGTAGATTTAATATTTGGTACAAAATGAAAAAGGATGAGCAGTCCAAGAAACCTGTTGATCATTTTAAGCTAAAAGTACATATGTATATAACCTCTATTTATAAATAAAATTTGAAAACAACAGTTTCAAAATACCCACAAAAGTTTTTGTTGTCTCCAGTATCACCTTTGGGAGTTTAAGCATTCAGGATTCCTTGGCTGCCCAGAACTGTTGGTGAAATCTAACACTCCAATCTCTGCACCTTTTAGCATGAGACAACAAAAAGAAGCCTTTGGGCCCCACTTAATTCCTTGATTGCTTTGTTTTCAGATGTATGCTATTTTCCATGCAAAGCAAAGTCTATTGTTGAAAAACTAGAAGCACCAGTTTCCACTTAGAAATAGAAATCTCTTCCTCCTGTCCAGTGGTGCTTAGAATCACAGGTAGGCAGCTGTGTTTCTTGAGCTGGATAAATCTCCACCAGAACTAACTCTAATGCCAAGTGATTGATGTAAGGGTGCCTTTTGCTTTTGTTTAAGAAGCCCTGGTGGTGCTGTGGGTGGACCTGTGGGTTAGGCATGGGGCTGCTAACCGCAGGTTGGTGGTTTAAACCAACTAGCTGCTCCTCCTGAGAAAGATAGGACTGCTTCTGTAAAGATTCACTGTCTCGGAAACCCTAGGGAGCCGTTCTACTCTACCCTAAAAGGTCCCTCTGATAGAAATCAACTCAATGGCAGTGGGTTTGCTTTGTTTTTGTTGTTAGCTGCCTTCATTTGTATGACCCCATGCAAAAAGGGATCTGACAAGTTTTTAGACTTTCAGAAGTAGGTCACCATGATTTTCTTCCTAGTCTGTTTAGCATCACAGCACTACTCAAGCCTCCACAGGAAAGACAAGTAGTATCTGTAATTGAGGGAACTGAATCCTGGTCTTGTGCATGGAAGGCAAAAATCTTAGCACTGAACCACTTCCCTCCTTAATGGAAGGAACTGCATCTCATCTTTAGCCAACTCAACGGTAGAAAGCATTCAGTACAGTAAGCATTGATAGTGAATACTATGAACCAACAGATGCTTATTTATTGGAATCACTTGTGTCCATCTTTTTGAGATCAAGCGTTAATGTCTAGACATAGCACGTGAGGCTCTTTTTTGAATGCAGATTCAGATTCAGTAGGTCTGGAATAAGGTCAGAAACTCTGCTTTCCTTCGTTTCTATACATGCTGGCATTTCAGGGACCACACTTGGAATTGTAGGGCTCTACTTAGCACCATCCTTTACTCCAACTGCAATTCCAGATGGTGGTGCATAATCGGAGCCTTGAATGCCAGCTGCCTAGATAGATGAGTCAAGGGGTCTTACTTTAGGGTACAGAGCCAGGCGGTAACAACAGTGATGTTCTTTTCTATATCAGTTAACACCTCAAAAGGCAAAGAGATTAGGAGTCTGAGAAGTAAGCACCAAGCCAAAAACTTGAAGATACTGGGTTTCTGGCAAGTACTGAATCTTGCTTATCAAAATCTCAAGTATTTCTAGGGAAGCCTTGGTAAAATAAAATAAACAGACAAAACTGGCAGTTTATATAGCTATACTTTTCTTCCCTTTCCATTTATTCTCTGGCTTGTATTCAAAACACTTCTGTGGTGATTAATATCTTGCTGATAGCTAACACTCTTTTCCCTACCAACAAAATAAAAGGTGAAACTCCCTTTTAAAAAAACACATACTGTGTTTGCTGTTTTAAAAAATAACAAAAACATTCACGATGATACAGAAAGAGGCCCCTGCATCAGCCTAGAATCTGTTTGTTCTCTCCCTCAGCATCACAAACAAACTGTGGGCTCCAGACTTAAGGAGCTGGATGAGGCAGAGGCTCAGGATTTGCTGTTGTGGCTGAGAATTTATTTTAAACTTCTCACCAGCTAAGCAACTGCATCACAATAAAACCCTATGTGGAATAGTACTACCGGCCTCCTTCACACCCTTAATACCTATGATGTGCCAGCACAGCTCATTGTTAATCCTCCCCATCACTGTGTAGAGTATACATCTGCATTTAATTGTTGTTGCTAAGTGCCATTGTGTTGATTCCAAAGGTTTCCAAGGAGCATCTGTTGAGTTTGAACTGCCCATCTTTCAATCCAGTGCTTTACCCCACAGCACCACACCAGGACTCCAGTGAGAGGAGTCTTCTAGATTACTCAAATTATGCCCTAGGGAGCAATGAATCTGTGAAAGCATAGCAGAAACTGCCTAAAAGCAGCTCCTGCTAGACCCACTAATCTAGATCCACACCCTAATTAGGGAGGAGCTGTTTATCCACTGCCTAGGCTACAGGAGAGGCTGTCAAGTGTGCCTTAGCAACTCCCCTCACCTTCATTGCATAGCTCACCCTGTTCTGTAAGATTTTGAGGTATGGCACTATAGGAAAAGCACTGGGCTGCTAACCACAAAGCCAGTGGTTCAAACCCACCAGATAGATACATACAAAGTTAGACCTTTAGCGCTTTATCACATCCCCTAGAGAACTTGGAAAGTTCCTCACCAGGAACACTAAAACGACCCCAAATCTTCAACCTGATCTTCTGAGATGAAAGTCCACCATTCATTCCTTGGGATCTCATTTCCTTACATATTATCCACTCTTAGCTTAAAGTACATTCATGATTGGGCCAAAGCCTGTTTTCATCCTCATTACTTTCTTTCCCACACAAACCCTAACTAACCCATACCTCCCTTAATGTGCATGTATTATCATCATATCTAAACCTAGTCTTTACATATGGTATCACTCTTGGTATACTTTCTCATTTTACCTTTAAATTGAAGCTGAGGACTTGGATACCCAGGAAAACAACACTTGTCAGAGACTCAATTCTGACCTCCTTTGTGTCAGAGTAAGTAATAACTGTGTTCCTGAAATAAGGTTCCCACAGTTTGATTTTTCAGATGTTGATTGCTAGGCCTTTCTTCTGAAGTTCCTCTGGGAACCTCAGAACTTACAACCTTTGAATTCATTAGCTGAGTACTTGACTATTTGTGCCACCCAGGGACTCCTTAACACATGAATGGTTTCTATTTATTTTTGCAGTACTAGAATGGGGACTGGTGTCCTGGCACTATAGGATAAGCAGTAGCCACAAGGTTGGTGGGTCAAATCCACCAACCACTCCTTGGAAACTCTGTATAGAGTTGCTGTGAGTCAGAACTGACTTGACATACACTTAACACTAACAGGTACTTAACACTAACACTAACAGGTACTACCAGATTCCTGGTGTGGCACTGTAGGATCAGCACTGAACTATGAATCACAAGGCTGGCAGGTTAAACCCACCTGCTACTCCTCAGAAACCCTATACAGGGTCACTATGAGTCAGAACTAACTCAACAACACTTAACAACAACAACAGAATGGGAATTAAGGAGCCCCAAAGGTGCAGTGGAGTGTGCATTGGGCTGCTAACCACAACATCAGAAGTTCAAATCCACCAGCCGCTCTGCAGAAATAAAAGGAGGCTTTTTGCTCCTTTCAAGATTTATAGTCTCAGAAACCCTACATAGGGTCTCTGTGAGTAGGAATTGACTCACTGGCAGTGGGTGGGAGAGTGGGTACTAATTATTTGATGACTATTAACAATTTAATATAATAAAGCTATTTCTAAAAGCCATTTTTATACCCCAGTGCTTCCTCACCTTATGTACAACCTGGCTGGTATAAAAATGCTAAGTGTCCCAGGACACTGGCCTTGGGGTGGGGGGGGGTGGTGGTTCTGCAGCTCCTACTCCTCCTCCAGTTGTGAAAGCAGAGAGTCTCAGTGTCTCCTCCTACCTACAGTGAGTGCTCAGGGGTGGAGGCTCAGTGACCTCCCAGAGGACTAGTCCACAGAAGCACTTTTGTTAATCTGGGTGACAATTTGCTTACAGAAAACAGTCAAGCAC